TCAAAAATCTGCACTTAGCGGATTTACAAATTTGCTAACATAGTTTTGATTTAATTATGATATAGGACACCCTATTATTTTAAGGTCATTATTATAATAATAGTTTAAGTGAAAGTCATTCAAGGTACTGTACGTCGTATTACCAAAATACGTACGTACGTTACGTACATAATTTGGCTTCTTTTTTTTAGTTTGTTTATAAGTATTTTTATTTCTAAAAGTTGTAAATTATTTAAATAATAAAGATTTTATTTTTTTAATACTTGGTACTACGCACAGTACAAAAAACGCAATTCGCTCGATATCCTTTAATAGAATTGCAACTAAACTAGATGAAAATTTTACTATTTCCAGAAACTTCTTTTTACTTGTTCAACTCAGTGAAAGAAAGGAAAAATATAACGGATACATTTAAATTTAATTATACAGTAGAAATATAGTATCTCTGGTATATTCAGGACTACTATCGAGCTTGCAAATGATATATGAATTTTCTATAATATTGTATTGTTCAGCAAACATTATAATTATTAATACAATCTTTTCTGTACTGTTCTATATGAGCGTTTGTGTAAAAGTGCCTTTTTAATTACATGCAATTCTTGATATTGATTTTAGAGATCTAGAATAACGAAATACAGTGTGTTCATTTCATCAGAGAAACCGCGATTTTATGTCAATTGTATTGCTTCAAATCATAAAAACTAAATAAATAAATTATTAATTAATGAATAAAAGTTAATTTATAACACAAACATTTTTCATTTAGATCAATCCATTATATATATATATTATCGTTATGATGTACTATTTAATTAATGACGTAATGCAACTATTGCATTAAAATTTACAGTTTTTTGCATAATCAAGATCGAGATCGAATCTGTTTATATGATTTAAATCATCTAAAAATATCTATATTAACATTTAATCAATTATATAAACCCAAAATAAAAACCCATCTTCTCAATTATTTTAACCCAATTGTCTACTCCGTGCTTCGATTTGTGTGAATATCCTTTTTTGTAGTGTTAGCCGATATCCTAAAGAGAAAAGAACTTCCATCCAAGCAAATAAAGGTGCAAGAAGAATTGCTATCATAAAGAAAAGTTATTTTTATTTCATCTTCATTTTTTCTAAAGTCTTTAAAAAATATCAAACGAAAAAAGCCAACCTTTTAAGATATTCTCTCTTGCCGCAGGACCACATTTCTCGACAATTACATGACCAATAATTTGCATAACCAAGGAAGTAACAAATACAATTATAGCTAAAGTATTGTGATTTGGATAGGTTGCGGCAAAATTTGTCGCATCATATACCATGTAGAGGAGGAACGGCGCACAAAGGACCTACATAATGATTATTTCATAATGTTTACATAGCTTTTTTTCTATTGTTTTTTTTATAAAATGCAGAATTCTCTTAAGGCAATTAATAAGAATTAAAAAAATCATTAAAATTTTTTTTTAATGTTTAACTCACCCCGGCAACAGGTTCCAAAAGTACATAATAACTTATGTACAAAAGCATAGTAAAAAATGCTGCATTGGGCATAAATGGTGTAAAGCGCCATAATGAATTTGGTTCATAGGGCAATAATGGACCAAAATTTGCTATCAAGACCAAAAAACTCCATAAGATGAGGGGTGTACACACTACGTATCCAAGACGACCCAAATATGAAAACAAGCATAAGATAAGCTGTAGTTTCATTATCTGGGAACCCAAATGCAGTAACTGAAACTTCATCAGTTTTACTATGTTCAGAATGTATTAA